TCAACAGACTTGAACCACCAAGCTGTGGGGGACACTGCAACCTTTGGAAGGCTTTTTACAACTTGAGGTACAACAGCCTAAGTTCGTGAATCTGGTAGAACTTGCAATACTTATTGACGTGATTCTGTAAAGTAGCTCAGGGTGAAGTGGAATTGTCTGGGAATTGTGGAGTTTGTTGGCATATGCAAATGAAATAATCCAAAGTCGCAGATATGCATCGATTCACCCTTTTTAATCAACCTCTCTTAATAAAAGCACTTAAAGTGGCCCGACTTTCTTTGGTTTTGCACAATGAGCTGGGAATCTTCTCTTTACTCCCCTCTTAAGATTGCTCGAGTTTCGGATCTGGCACTGCGTGAATTGGCCCCTCGAGGCATAGGCTGCCATCACGCGGGGATGCTGCGACCCGACCGCACCTTGGTAGAGCGCCTTTTCAGGGAGGGCGCGCTGAGGGTACTGGTGTGCACCGCCACCCTCGCCTGGGGAGTCAATCTGCCTGCCCATGCAGTGGTCATTAAGGGTACCCGCATTTACGATCCCGACCGCTCAGACTATGTCGATCTCGACATCCTCGATGTCCTTCAGGTGCGCGCCTCTCTTATCGTTTAGTCCCTGATTCACCGACTTACTTTTTATACTAATTTAACGTGTCAAATACCAAGTTGCGTATCCATACTTAAAGTTATTGACTTTAATCGGCCGATCCCCACTTTGACTGGATGGATTGACATTGCTGTAAATTTACCTCCCACCTGACTAGCCTACTAGCGGGTGGGTGGGTTAGTTTCAACTCCAAGTTAATCCCTATTGCTTTGCGGCATTTTGACTTAACTTGTCATCTGATTCTAAGTTCCTACGTCTCTATGATTGACAATAATGGCATTTAAAGTACCAGACCGGTTAGACATAGCTCTGATTGGATAGACCTATACGTCTTTTAATAATTTTAATCCTCAACTGCTTGATTGCGTGAACAATCATAAATCGGTCTAACTAGAATTTCTTAGTTTCTGTTCAATCAAATCCACGGAATTTCGGAAGATCTGCCCTCAATTCATTTTTGAGTGGTCTACATCTGTTACTTGCCTCTGGTAGCCTAAAACCTTCATTTTTTAAATTGAACCTTAGACATCTATGAGATAACTCCAAATTCTTAGTTCTGCATGGAATTCCAAAGTCCCTGCTCTTTCTGGACCGTCTCCTGGTGGTCTGAGTCGTTCAACTCGGTTCTTTTGGAGCACCGTTTCCTGATGCTTAACCATTTGATAAAATCTCCTTATTTAGTTTTCATTAATGAGGTTCATCGAATTGGTACGAAGGCCTTCGTGATCTTGTCGATTATTGCCAAGGCGCAATTCAACTAAGGTTCAGCTTACCTCATTACCATGCGTGTGTGATGTATAGCTAATCCCATTCTTACAATCGCCTTGTTCAGATTTTCGGACGCGCGGGCAGGCCTCAGTTCGATAGGTTTGGTCTGGCCACGATTATCACGACGCGTGACAAATTGGACCACTACGTTCGTCTTGTAACCAATCAGGTTCCAATTGAAAGCAATCTTCTGAAAAATCTCAACGATCATCTTAACGCCGAGGTAAAGTGTTGTTATCATTGCTACTTAGGAAGTACTCAATGACTATTGTTTATGATCAAAACGTTGGTGGGGTTTTGTTCAGATTGCCCTCGGAACGGTGTCCAACGTATCAGAAGCGGTCACGTGGCTTTCGTACACCTACCTTTTCGTCCGGCTCACCAAATCGCCCCTCCATTATGGCATCACTCCAGCCATGCTCTCGGTGCGTTAAATCGCTGCTCAAATGGCCTACTTGGCTTGCCATCAACGAGGTTTCACTTTCTCCCTTAGGAGGACCCTGATTTGACGCATTTTCTTACTAAAGTGGTTGAGGAGGCAGCGACAGCTCTGGACGATGCAGAGATGATTCGTTTCGAGCCCTCCACTGGGCAAATGGCTTCCACTGACCGGGGACGCACAGCATCGCTATACTACATCAGCTACGCCACCGCCGCTCTCGTTCGTCAGCGTCTACACGCGCTGATGCGATTGCAGGATCTTATCGGACTGGTTGCAGAGGCCTCCGAGTTCGCGCAGATGAAGGTGCGCGACGAAGAGGAGGCTGAGTTACAATGCCTTCGCGACGAGGCCTGTCGGGTAGTAGTGAAGAACCCCGGCACAGTGGAGGGTACTCTTGGTGTCAAAGTCAATGTGTTGCTGCAGGCACATATCTCTCGAGCTCGACCGACCACCCATTCCCTTGTCTCGGATATGTTCTATGTACAGCAGAATGCGGGAAGGTTAGCGAGATACACTTTTGAGATTGCGTTGAGACTCGCGTGGTCCGTTTGTGCCACCTCTGCGCATCGTCTATCTAAGGTAAGTTTTTTGGAGTTTCCCATCTCATTCTCCTTCTTTTCATCTTCTTAATCCATTCCAATGTCTTGTAGATGATTGAGCATCGCCTGTGGTACGATGAGACCCCGCTTTGGCAGTTCATCGACTCGAATGTGGAGGGTTGCCGGTTATTGGATCGCGTAGATGACCTGTCTCTACGCGTGGACAGGATTCGGGAGTTGGATCCCAGTGAGCTAAGTAGGTTTCTCACTTTATGTTGATGTTTCCTCTTAAGTTTACCGGTTTGAATTCCCTTTTTATTTTATTCACACGCGAACCGACGGATTACGAATCGGTAGGCCCTTAAAGGCCTTACGGATATTAACTTTCCGCTTTGTTTATGATTACTCTCCTGTAACGACAGCCACAACAGTATTGAGGTTTTTCCGTCACATCGAGAAGGTCTCGTAGATTTCATTAGGCTTCTTCGCATTCCAGCTGTCGAGCTGCTTCCGAAGACACTATTATCAGAGTAGACGTACCTGGAAGCGATTTTATTGCTTCTGTGAGATTTGTTTTCTGGGCGGCTAAAACGGCCCGTTGTGTCACTCTATTACGACAGCTCCACTACGTGTCCATTTTTCTCATTCTGTTTTCTAACAAAATTCCTTAATTTGACGAATTTTGCTGCATTTCATTGTTTTGAATTCCCTTCATCCTCTTCCCTTCGCTAGACGGCATTCTGCATTACCAGGGCTTGCGCGGTGCCGAGTACGTCTGTCGACTGGCCAGTTATTTGCCATTGCTCACGCTGGTTGTGGATGCTCAACCGGTCACTCGCAACATCCTCCGCATCACTGTCCGCCTCACTGCCGACTTCACCTGGATAGATCGCCACCACGGCAACGGTAGTGCTTTGCTCTACTGGCTGTGGGTAGAAGATCCCGATGACGCCTGCATCTACCACTCAGAGGCCTTCGCATTGACCAAGAAGATGGTTGGTCGAAACTATCTGCTGTATTGTGCCCTCTAAATGTGGATTTTATTCCTCCACCTGTCTCGGTTCCATTACAGATGGTAAAGGCGAAAGGTGGACCACTGACAGAACTGGTCTTCACTATCCCTATCCACGAACCTCTGCCTTCGCAATACCTTGTTCGCTGCATATCGGACCGATATTTGGGTGTGGAAACTCTTGCTCCTGTACACTTGCGCAATATCCTTCTGCCTCAGGCCGATCCTCCCCACAGTGGTAAACGATTGTTCCTTCTTCATCGAAAACAAGTAGGAAGTAATTGCTTAATCAACTACATACTCCATTAACTCACAGATCTCCTACCGTTGGATCCACTACCAATAAAGGCATTGAATAACCAGCATTACGAAGCGCTCTACTCCTTCACACATTTCAATCCCATACCAGACGCAAGTGTTTC